TGTAGTCGTGTATGTCGCAGCTCATGCGGTCCCAGTAGTACCGAAGTTTGGCTGCTTCAATGGTTTTGCGGTATCCAAAGTGGTTCCCTGTTTTTCCATCGTGGAGGGACTGGATGATATTCTTCTGCATGAACAGAGGGACAACGAATCTCCTTTCGAGTTTCGCATTGATGTCGGTGAGTCGGTAGAGCACACCTTTGTCCATCTGGTAATGTTCAGGTAATTTGGACCTCTTGTCCATTTCGCTTTGGTGTTCCAGCTCATGGATTTTCTTGGCCAGAGTTGGGTCACGGTGTTGCATCCGTCGCAGTTCTTGCGCGGTGCGGTCCGTAACTTTTTCTGGACACGGTGGGACTTCGGGCTCTGGCTCTCCCGGTACGGGCGCCGGTACGTTAATCACCCTTATGTCCGCCGTGCTGAACTGGTCCCAATCTGTGATTGCGTTGCAATCGGGCAGGAGAGGCTTGTCCCATTCATTTGCGGGGTCCTCGTCCGTGACTTGCAGCCTGCGCACCTTTATGATGCGTGCTGGAATCTCGTCCTTGTAATCCTCGAAGTTAGGGACTTGGTCCAACTCTTCGTGTGGGCCTTTGTCATCGTCCCGTTCGAGTGGCCATCTGGACGATGCGTCGGCATTGTCACAGAATGTGCCTGGTTTGTACTCAATGGTGATGTCCCGTCCCTGTAAGGCGAGGGCCCATCGAGTAAGACGAGGATTGATGCCGGGCCGGTTAGACTCGCATCTGAGCAGATTGGTTAGAGCTCTGTGGTCCGTCCTTACTGTGAAAGGTCCGTGGTCAATGTAATGCTTAAACTTCTGGACGGCCCACACTACGGCTAAGCATTCCCATTCGGTTACGCCGTAGTTCTTCTCAGCTCCATGTAGGACACGGCTTGCGTAGGCGATTGGCCTCGAGTCCTGGCTGAGTATGGCTCCGATGCCAGCGCCACTTGCATCACATTCGATGGTGGTCTGTTTGGTCGCATCGAATTTGGCCAATATTGGGGCTTCCGTTAGGGCCTTTTTAATTTCATTGAACTCTGCGGTGTGGGCGTCGGTCCAGTCGTTCTTCACTGAACTTTCCTTCCGCAGGAGTTCATACATCTTGGAAGTCTTCTGGGCGTAGCCCAGAATAAACTTCCGGTAATATTTTGCGAGTCCAAGGAACGAGCGAAGTTGGCGCTCGGTCTTGGGCGGTAGTTTATCGGCGATGGCCGCTACCTTCTCGGGATCAGTATGGACACCGTCCTTGGTGAGGATGTGTCCAAGGAATTGGAGTTTTTCCATTCCAAATTCGCACTTCGACAGTTTTATCGTGATTCCGGCGTCTCGGAGGCAGAGGAGCGTGTTTCTAAACGCTTTCCTGAATTCCTCGAATGTCTTGCCGAAGAATATCACGTCGTCGATGTATGCGAAGACGCCGCCCTGTTTGCGTGCTGGCGCCATGATCTTGTCCATTGTCATTTGGAATGTGGCTGGCCCGTTGCAGACGCCGAACGGCATTCGTTTGAACCGGAACATCCCATCTGGAGTCACGAAGGTAGTGTAGTCCATTGACCCTGGATCCATAGGGATTTGCCAGAATCCGGACTGACAATCTACCTTGCCGTAATAGGCGTTGCCTGCACATTGATCCAGAAGTTCGTCTGGATTGGGCAATGGGTAATTATTCTTCTTGGTCACCGAGTTCAGCTTTATGTAGTTTATGCAGAACCTGGTGCCCATGGTCCCGTCGCCGTTTTTCTTCGAAGCGAGGACCACTGGGAAACTCCACGCTGCCATGGACGGTTCAATTACGCCTTGGTCCAACATTTCTTGGACGTGCTTGTTTATGAACTCTCGTCCCTTCCAACTCGTTCGAGTTAGGTTCATTTTAATTGGTGCAGCGTCGCCAACTTCTATGACGTGGGTCACTCCCTTAACGTCGCCGTAAGGCTTTTTGGACGTCGGGAATATGGCCCGGAGTTCCCATAAGTCCTGACGGAGTAGAGCGGTCTGCTCTTCGGTCAGGTGGTCACCGAAATGTGCGTTGGCGATGTGGGCGCGAATTTCGCGTTCCACTTCAGGATCTTCCTCTCCGGTTTGGAGGGAGTTGATCTTGGCGTAGTCTTCATCCGAGATTTCCTCGTATGGCTCCACTTGGCCCATGTTGACTCCTTTCCGGAGTATGTGGGGCTCTTGGAATAGTTTGACACCAGTATGGTGAAACTGTTGCCATCATGCCGGACTGGTCCGTCGAGCATGGCCAGACTCCGTTTGGTATCTTGGCTTCCGAGGTACATGAGTTTCTGTCTCGGGTCGACAGGAAAGTCGATGCTGACTTGGACCGGGGTGACGGACTCCGGTGGGAGCTCCACTTTTACAGTTGCCCGGACCATAGCATGGTCGTTAATAGTGCGGTACCGGTTTGGATTATTCCCTGCCGCTTTTGGCCATGGTAAGGCGTCGGCATTGGGAATTGACCAATCTACGCCGTCCTCCTTGATGTCTGGCTCATATATGTCACTGTAGTACATATGGCCAACTTTTGCACCTTTGCGGAGAATTTAGTCGCGTCGGGACTTATTTTGGACCTGAATCCACGCGTGTTCGCTGTTTCGAGTTTGGACCTCCGCTTCGATCGGTATAACCAAGCGGTGTGGTCGTCTCAGCGATTTAAAGTGGATTGGCCGTCCCGGGTCCATAGTCCGATAGGACCGGACCTTAATCCAGCAAGTTGAGTAGGCTGGTAAGTTGTACCGCTGATGAACGAAGACGACTTCTCTCTCTTCCTTGAGGCAGTCCGTTGGACGTTCGGTCCGCAGTTTGCGGATTACCGGTGCCTCGGCTCGGAGTTGGAGAATTTCTGTGTCCTCTTCTTCATCGCTTGACTCCTCCGATGATTGGTTATCGGAGTCCGTGTCCGGTGAGTCACTTGAGCTTTGGACGTCCGAATCGGTAGACTCGGGTTTGTCTTCTTGCTCGGGTTTTGGCTTGCCATTGCCCTCGTTAGAGGTTGGCGCTCCTCCGGCCACTGTTGGTGCCGGTTTGGTCACGGGATCCATTTCTTGGATCTCTGGCGCTCCGGTTGCGATTCCCTGTTTTTCAGGTTCGTCCGGTTCCGCCAAAGTGGTTGGACGGTCCCCATTTGGGAGTGGCGAGGCTGGTCGGCCTTTTGCCCAACGTTGAGTCGAACGGGTTTGTATGGCCCGTATTACCGCTTCAACGCCGTCTCCACATAGAGGACAAGTCAGTTGGACTTCCTCTGATGAAGGGTCCTGCTCGTTCTGGCTGGTGTCCCTTCGATGGCCTCCCTGTTCTGGGTGTGGGCCATCATTGAAGCGCACTTTTGTCGCTATATGCGGTGCAGCTTCCGGCAATGGTTCCGGTATGGTCCTAACGTTAGTCAGGCTCAGGTCGTACTTTGGCCGTATGCTGACGCTTAAGCCAGGATGTTGGGCCACTTGTTTTCGAAGCGTTATTACGTCGTCGAAAAAATCCGTGCACATCTTTTGGAGTGCTTTCGGCATTTCCATGTGGTACTCCCTCTATTCCCACACGAGGGCTAGACGTTCGTCCTCCCATAAAGCTCCTTCTTGGACCAAGTCGTCCAGTTCTTGGGCGAATGGTCCGTACTAGTCTGCTATCTGCGCCCACGTTAGCGGTACGTTAGTTTCTCTGTCAGGCACCGGCCGTTGGCCCGGTGCCTCTGGTATCGGGATAGTCTTTACTATCCCGTGATTTGGCTTGAGTATGCCTGCACGGAATTGAGTCATATAACGCTCGATTGCGTTATGGACGCGCAGCTCCCATATGAGGCTTTCAATGGTGTCCAGGCATTCCCAACAGGTAGAAGGAGAACCTTTCGGGTGATCAAGCCGATTAACTCTCACTTCATCATCGGGTCCCGGTGCCTCTGGTATCGGGATAGACTTTACCGCGTCCCAAACGATTTCTTCGTTTGGCTTAAGGATGAAGGTAAACTTGGATTGGAGATAGTCACAGCCAAGTAATACGCGCACGTCCGTTAACGTCGGTTGGACGAAGAACGTGTGGTGGCTCTTGTATCCCTGCAGTGTCACTTGTACGGTGCAGCAGTGGGAGACCACGAAGGCGGTTTGTCCGCCGACACCAAGGATTTTGGTGTTCCGTCCTAACGGCTCTGTTTTGATGCCATTGGCGGTGCAGAATTGCTGGCTGATGAGGGATGTCTCGGCTCCAGTGTCCAGCATGGCGAGCGTGTGGACTGGTCCAATTTGGACTTTGTGCGTCCATGCTCTGACGGTTTTCGGTTTGCGATTCTCATCCAGGCCAACTGTCACTTCCCGCATCACTGGTACAATGGGGATTAGCGACACTGGTCCTGGATCATCAGGAGCGTAGTGAGGTGAAGGTGGCTGCTGTTGGACAGACTCTTCCTGTGGTGGTGTTTCCGCAACCCGTAGGGTGGAAAACATACTTTTGGTGTTAAGGAAGGTCCGTGAGCTGTTTATAGTTCGCACCGTTGGTGTGGTGCCGAGGGGTTGTCCACCGATCTGGGGCCAGCAGGTACGGGGACTTGACGCCTCAAGAGGTTCGGTTGTCCAATCTTTTAAGGATCCGACCTCGCTGTCCGTATCTTGTACGGACCATCCTTCCGTTGCGCTGTCGGAGGATGTGTCTGACGCCGATTTAGGATACGTCATGTTCGTGGTGCGACGTCTCGCTTTGCCACGTATTCGGTTGGCCTTAGGGTTGGTTGAGGCTCCGAGTTTTGGTGATCGGTTGGCCTTGGGGTTAGTTGAGGCTCCGAAAATCGACTTGGTCGCTTGCAATACGACTGTCGGCCTGGCATCGCTTTTAGAGCCAGGTGGCTTAGGCGCTGGTTTGGCGCAAAGCCTGGATCCACTGGTGGGCTGTTGAGCCGTAGGGGTTAGTTTGGGATCCATGTAGGTTAAGTGCGGATTAGTAATAGTATGGGTTATGTCCGGCGGTTTCGGTTCCGGTCTCAGGTCGGGTGAATTGCCGATACTCCCCGACCTTATGCGTTTCCCGCGGTTGGGCTGGCCCGGTTAGGGCCGCCGCCGCTGTTGCCATTTGGCTTCACCAGCTGGTCCGGTATGGGTGGTAACGCTGCCCTTTCGTTGGCTGGCGTCTGGTATCCCTGCTTTGGACCATTCTGTCGGTTGCCGCCACCGGACCCACTTCCTGAGCCGGTGGACTGCCTTCGGCTGCCTGTCCCTCCATTACCACGCGGTGGTCTGGGTTGTTTGGGTGGCACTAAGCCGAGGCGGTTAGGATTGGCTGACCCGGTAGGGTAGCCTTTTTGATAGCGATTTCGCCAATCCAAATACCATTTTCGGTTTGGATTTTCGCCATATGGCCTGTTCGCGTAGCCACAGCCGTCGGTTGGGTGGTGGTTGCAGGTAATTATCCCGTCTTTGGCCCATCGCTCGAACATGCGCTCGACCCGGTCGATGTACATGTCCTCTTGTCTGCGGGCCTCTTCGGGGCTCAGAGTCTGGCGTTGGCCACTCTGGCCTCCCGGGCTTCGGTTTTGTCCTCCAGGGCTGTTGCCGCTTTGGTTTCCGCTAAAGCTGGCGTTTTGGCCCTTGGAGAACTTGCCCTTTGGTCCTCCGCCGCTGTTGCCCTGGCTGTAGCCATAGTTGCCCTGGTTTCGGGCCTGGCCATAGCCGCCACTACCGCCATTTGGCGGTGTAGACCCACGTTGTGGGGAGGCTAAGTTCAAGGCCGCGATGGCGGCGTATGTTGCCTCAATTTGGGCTTGTGTAGCCTGCGGGGGATAGAGTGCCGGTTGTTGTGGTACGACTTGGGCTGGTGGCGTTTGTATGGCCGTTCGGCTTGTTGGGTATCCGCGGCTTGCTTTCCCTTCGTACTCCGGCTTTCCCATTGTGTACTGCCGGACATAGTCCCGGAATTCTGCCGGTGACTTTGGTATCCGGATGTCCAGAGCGCGGCGCAGTTCTGGCTCCTTCACGTTCTCCCTCAGGAAGTGGAGGGTCATGGTGTCGTCCAAGCCAGCGCGCGTCTGGAGGGTCAGCATGGCGTCGTAATACTGCTCAGGGGTTTCGGTCAGGTGCTGGTAGTACCGATGTGTGATTTCTCCCATGGCAGTTGCCTGCTGCTTATCATCGCCGTAACGAGTGGCAAATTTCTGAAGCCACTGTTCCACTGTCCAACCGTCCTCGTCTTCACGATTGGCTTGGCCAGTGTACCATTCCTTTACAGGATCTGATACGGCCATGTAAATGCGGCTCATAAAGTCCGGATCTGGTTTCTTCAGATCGAACGACTGCTTACAGATTCGTCGGACCTGTGCAAGCCATCCTTTCACCATTGTTTTGTTGCCATCAAATTTTGGCAACTCGGTGCGGACTTGAGCTCTCGCGGTGGCTTTTCCCATCTCTTGGGCCATTTCTTTAATTTGCTCTCTGGTTGAGAGAGCTGGGCTGACCGGTGGTGATGGGGCAGGTGTTGGCTGCTGTGGTGTTAGCGGCACTTGCTGAGGTTGGGCCCACAATGGTTGGCCCGGTACAATCTGGATAGCCCCGTTGGACGCCATCCATGCGTATGCTCCATTCGGGAGCTGGACCAACATGGGCGCATTTTGGCCCTGGCCTGGTTGGGCTGCTGGTCCTGGTGGCATGGCCGCTGTTGGCGGTATGCTTGGTGGTTGGGGCACGTTTTGGCCTGTGGGCGTGGTTTGGCCCATCTGTGGCTGAGCTTGGCCCGTTTGGGCTGCCGCCGTGATAGGAGGGCCAAATAGGCTTAGTTGGCCTACTAGTGGTGGTTGCACCGTTGGTGTACCACTTTGGCCTCCTATCTGTCCTTGCATGGCCGATGGCCCGAGCGTTGGGCTCATTGGGTTGGTCCGGTTTGGATCCATGGCGCTGGTGTGAGCCTGGCTTGTGGCCGGTTGTGGACTAAAATTGAAGTCCATGTTCGGGAATATCGACGGATACAAGGACGGGTATGGTGGCCTTGATCCGAAGTAGCTGTGGCTGGGTGTTGCCTGGCTCGGATCAAAGCTTGACCCGCTTGACGTAGACGGATAAGTCTGCGTTGCAGGCGTCACTATCGTCGTTGGACCAGTAGTGGCTGTTGTGGTGACCGGGACTGGTGGTGGCGGCAGTGTTACTGTCGCCGTTGATGTTCCGCGGTCCACCGGGCTGGGAGGCGCGGGTATGGTTGGCCCCTTTGGAAGATCTCCAACCGATGGTCCCTCCACAGCCATATTCACTTGATAGTTCTGCTGGTGATACACTGGCTCTCGGTAGAAGCGTTGGCCCTGCCGCAGAGCCTCGTCGACTTTTTCTTGTCGACGTTGTGTGTCCGAGTCCGGAAAGGTATGGTAGGACGGTGGTCCTGCGGACAACTCGGAGTTTATATCAGCGAGATGTGATTTCTCCGCATCTAAACAGGCGTTTTCCATGTTTAGCCTTTCCAGGTCCTCGTTTAGCTCAGTTATACGTTGGGTGGCCGCCTGGTAGTCTTTGACCAGGCCGGCATTATTGGCCTCCAAAACGATGATCCGGTCTTGTTGGCCCTGGATCACCTGTTTGGCTTGATTGAAGGCCTGCTCCAATTGGACGAAGTTTTGATGTCCAATGGCGCTGTTTTGCTCAAGTTGGACCCGAATGGTTGCTTCGGTGTTGAGCTGGCTCTGGAGGGCAACGATCTGTTGCTGGAGTTGCACGTTTTGTGCTTCCTTCTGCTGAACCGTTTGGCTCATCAGTCCTCCTTGTTGGATAGTCTTCATGAGGTTCTGGTGACTCTCATAAAGAAGGTTGTATCCATTCCGCAGGCGGTTGATTTCGTCCTGCAAATTGGACAAGTCGTCGGTGAGACGCTCGTTTTCTCTCTGAAGGCGGTCCGCCTCAGAGTCAGTGTCATCAATAGTGGCCCGGGCCGCAGCCAAGTCGTCCCTGGCTTTGGCCAGCTCGGTCCTCGTAGAGGTGAGCAGGGCTTCAAGGCCCGCCACAGCCGTTTCTAGGCTGTGGATTGTCGTGTAGAGCTGGTCTCGCTCAGCATTAGGACATGGTGACAACTTGAGCTGAGTTAGCTCAAGTTGGGTCTGGGCCAGTATGGCCGAGACACGTTTAGCCTCTGCGTCCGATTGGAACGCAAGGTCTTTGTGCCTGCAGATCTCGTCCTGCATCCAACGTTCGGATAGCAGGGTTGCTTCTGCAATATCCGCCAGCTGTTTGGTCAGGTCCCGTACTGTGGTCCTGAGTTGGTCGATTTCGTCGAGCTCCTCGGGCCGGGTTGCCTGGTTCAGCTTTGGCGGGGTGACGCTGGCGCGGGTTGTGTCCCAGGAAGGCCGGTTTAGGTCCATCCTGGCTGTGGCCCTGCTAAGTTGGGCCAGGTCCACAATTGGCTCTTCGTCCGGTTTGGACGGGCCAGACGCGCCGATGACGTCATTGGTTGGCGATGGCGTTGTGTAGGTTGGGCCATCGTCCTCAAACATGAGTGGCGACTGACTCGCGGGCTGTTGGCCCTGGTCATGTGCCTTTGGACCAGCCTTTTTGGCTTGGCCCTTTGCCTTGCGTCCACCTTTGGCCACCGTTAGTGCCTCAGGTTGGATCTGGTCCGAGCCCGGTAGGGTTGGACGTGCTGTCAGATCCTGGACATCAAGGTTGGACCGGGCCAAGTTGTTTGGCCCTGGTCCGTCCGTGCGTGTCTTGTCCTCACTTGTGCCCGCCGTTGGCGCCGCAAGTTTGACTTGGCCCGGACCAGGTATGGCCGGTTGATGCGCCAAGTCCCGAGGGACACTGTTGGCCTGGGCCGTCCTATCGGCGCCAGGTTGGCTGTCCAGAGGCTGGTTGGCCTCGGACAATCCGTCGGACGCTTTCTGGAATGTATCGTCCCTGGTGGCGTCCAGACTAGTTCGTCGCTGGTTTCCAAGTCGGCCGGCAGGATTTGTCTGTCCCGCCTGGCTTTGGCCTCGACCGAACTCGTTGAGCCGGCCGAGTTTGGCTCGTCTGGTTCAGAACCGCTCTGTTTGGCCCTGCGGAAACCGTAAGTTCCCGGTGGGTCGCGTGTGGCATAGTTCTTCCCCAGTTGCTTCTTGTATTCGTTAGGTTGGCGCCCGTCCATAGGACTGAGCAATCTCCGTTGGAGTTGCTCATGGCTGGTGTATGGCATCACCTTGGCCAAGGCGCTTTCGATTTGGCCCATGGTATTGGGACTTAAAAGATTTCTTTGATCTTGGTCCGGACCGGAACGGTGGGTTGGCTGTCGCTGGTTGGTGCTGGTCAGGTACGCTAGAGCTCAGGTTTAGCGTTAGCTTCCTATGGCCCTATGTTACGCTACTGACCAGTGTGACGTCGATTACAAAGTGGTCTTGCAATAAGCTCTACGTCACGAGTAGCGTGCAGTGAGCAAAATTCAAAAAACAATATGACTCATTACGAGTCTTATAACATGGGGAAGTTTCCCACGTGTTCTGATTGGTCGAAATTTTATGGAAAGTTACCACTTTGACGTCACGCGACTTTTTCGCGAAAATTCCGGCTGGACAAAATGGCGATTATTTTTCGCCGATAATTCGTCAAAAGTCAGGAAAAAATTTCTCGAGAGTTCTGTTACGTTTTTCTAGTACAGAATTTCACGAGGAATCCGAAAATGCCAATTTTTAGCAAATCGGATAAGCGTTAAAAAGTTATGAAGGGTTTTGCTTAGGTTCTACGCGGAAACCTCGAATTTTCAAAAGGTTCTACGAAAACCTACGACGCCACAACAGGTCATACCGGCGGTTTGTTCGCTCCAGACAGTGCTGCTCCGTCGTTCCACTTCACCCTTTTCAACCGTAAGGGCCGCAGCGCACCCGATAGGGCGTAATGGAGTATCAGGACCGTACCGAACGCAGTTTTTGCGCCGGGAGCCAAATCTGCGGGAGGCCTACTTTTAGGCGCTGACCCGTATCAACGCAACCCGGTAGGGTGCTTATTTGGTCAACAGCGACGTACCCAACGCAGTTTTTGCGCGGGGAGCCAAAGCTGCGGGGGACCTACTTATAGGCGCCGACCCGTATGATTATTCCGTCGCGCTGCAGGTTTCCAGTGAAACCTGTATGATGCAGGAGATGGTGGTCGCGGGATGGCTGGCCTACTTATAGGCGATCAGCGTAGTTCGACCGATTGTTGCCTTCACTGGGGATCAGAGGTCTCGCAGGAAAGAAAACCGAGCGAGTCTGCTACCATGTCAGATATGACACAGAAGCAGATGGAAAACGGGGCCAATAGCCTTTATTGTGATAACAATAAAGCAACAACAACACAAAACCAACGGAAAACCCGATGTGGGAAAAAGCTATGGAAAAAGTGCCTGCAGTGCGCTAGCTAGGAATCGTGATAATTAATCCGCGTGCTGCCGGTGTGCAACAGCTGATGCTGCAAAGCATGGAATCGCCCGTAGGCGCAGGGCTCCGCCCCCAAGAGTGCAGAGAAATGCGCTGATTGGTCA